CACTATTTATTATACATGCATTATCTAGAAAGGAATAACATCACTCTTTGTATTTACCATAAAATTAAGTTTCTCTTTATAATTTAAAATGACTTAATGGTTCATAGATGGGAAAACCCATACCTCACAAATTTGTAAAGTAGCTGTATATCTTCCCAAGTTCCCAAAATAAACGAATAAGAAAATTTCCCCAAGCCCTCTCACTCCTTAACAAAATGCTCACTTATTTTCCATTAATTATATGTCTATGAGTAATTAAATAAATACAACCTGCTGAGTCCACATAGTGTTACATGTATTTTTATGCTTTTAAGGCCGACCACTTGGTATTAGATAACCCAGTGAGGGGGATTATCCCTGGGGAAAGACTGATTCTCCCTCTTTCAGTAGTTGCTAATTGTCTACAGCTCTTTATCTAAGGTTGGGGCCCTATGAGATTTCCCACATCTATGTTGGGAGTTCAACTGGTGTTAGAATTATTCTGTTCTTGTTTAAGCAGCCATACTGTAAAGCATTCCTGTGTCAAGCTTCCCTATCATATGAGGGAGACTCAATCTTGTGGCATACTTCCTAGGCCTGTGGCTCTCTTACGATCTTTCCACCACATCTTTGTCAATGTTCCTTGACCTCCAGTGAAGGGTTATATTGTACATGTATCACTTTTTTGCTGGGCATCCCAGAGTCAATTATTCATCGCATTTTGACCAGCTGTGTCTTTCTGTAAAGGTCTCTATTTGCTGAAAAAATAAACTTCTTTGATGTTGAGTTGGAGCTACACTTAGCGATGGGTATAAAAAGAAGAATTTAAAATGCAGTTAGGAATTATACTGACTTAGGAAGTGGATAGAAGGATCTTCTTTAAGACCTATGCCCTCACTGGCCATGAGAGTGGATTATTTTCCAGAATCAGACATTATTTCCCTTCTGTTAAATGGGTCTTATGTTCAATTAGATCAATGTTGGCTACTGCCAAGATATAAATGCCACTATTGCATTTCTAGGGATGTAGTTCCATGTTAATCTTTGTTGTGGTTCATGAGAACCACAGTTGAGTAGGACTACTGATTGTGTTCCTGTCTTTGAAGCTTATATAGCACCTTCCTGTACTGTGAACTTTGTCCTCAGGGAAGAGGTTGGTGAATCAAATCTAGCATGAATCCTCTGGATCCTGTGTCTGAATTATGTGATGTCTTCAGCAAGAGAGACCTATACTGAATATCTGGGAGGTAGCCAAAGGTAAAGGCAATAGCCTATAATGTTTTGGGAGTCTCTTGCTCTCCCCTGACCAATATCTGGAACAGAGATTTCTTATGCTTGATACTGGGGTTTTTGTTAGTCTATTTCTCTTGGGAGGAGCACTATCACCCCAAGTGACTTAACCGTGTGTGTGTGTGTGTGTGTGTGTGTGTGTGTGTGTGTGTGTGTGTGTAATTTTAGGTTCTATAAAAATTAGATTCTTCGTGTCTTTTTCAAACATCTTTTGTGTTATGTACCCCTCTTCCCTCCTTCCCTTTCTCTATTGTTCTCCCTCCCCTTCCCAGTTAAAGCTACCTCATCCCTATTTTTTCCATCCCCTTTAATAATTGCCTGTATCCAAACAATTAAAATGTGTTTTTATTAGATCTTTGAGAGGTTAATACATATTTTTGACCATTTTTTCCCACCCTCCCTCCCTTCCTGAAAATCATTCCCAATTCACCACTAAACCTTCTTATTCACACATCTTTGTGGGGGGGTGTCATTTTTTTTTAATCCTCCAAGATCAATATTTGCTGCTCAAATATTTTTGGATGATGTGTGGTCTGCCACTAGAGAGTGGTCAGCTTATCATGGGTTGCACTCTTTAAGAATGCAGTCTGCCTGTCTTTCTCTCCACAGTTGATAACTGCCAATGGCTCTATGGCTTGGGGTGTATTGTTTGTGTGACTCCTCTCCTCATTCTGGGATTTGGTCTGACATGGGTTTGCACAGGTTTTGAACAAGCTGTTGAAAACACTTTGAGTTCATATGTGGAACTACCCTGCTCTGTGCAGAAGATAATGTTTCCTTGTAGCCATTCACTCCTTCAGGCTCTCATATTCTTCCTGCCCTCTCTTCTTCAGTCATTCCTGAGCCTTAAGAGGGGGGGTTGGTTTGGCTGTGTTCAGATTGTGACTGTGCCCTGCTTCTTCCCTCTTGAAGTAACAAAATATTTCAGTTTTTTAATTTTTTTTATTTTTAAGGTGATAATGGGTTTGAAAAGACTTTGGATTTTAAAAGAGACAGGATATTTTAAAGAGAATGAACTTTTAAGTATTTGAACTTTTAAAGACCATGGGACATTTAAAATTTGGAATGTTTATAACTTAATGTTGATATTAATATGTGATCTTGAAAACGAGCAGGACAGGAAAGGTTGTGGCTTAACAGGAATGTGTTGCTGTGTCAGGGTGACAAAGGGATCAGTTGTCCTTGCTAGTTCTATGTCAGTTTGACACAAGCTAGAGTCACCTGACAGAAGGGAACCTTAATGAAGAAAATACCTCCATAAGACTGGGCTGTAAACAACTTGCAAGGCATGTCATGTTCTTCATTAGTGATTGATACAGGAGGACCTAGCCCATTGTGGGTGATGCCATCCTTGGGCTGGTAGTCCTGGGCTCTTTATGAAAGCCCAAACTGAGCAAACCATGAGAGCAAGTCAGTAAGCAGCACTCCTCCATGGCCTCTGCACCAGCTCCTGCCTCCAAGTTCCTATCCTGTTTGAGATCCTGTCCTAATTTCCTTCACTGATGGACTAAAGTGTGGAAGTTTAAGCCAAATTAACCCTTTTATTCCCAACTTGCCTTTGGTCATGGTGTTTCATCATAGCAATGGTAATCTTAATTTATACAGAGACTCTAGAAAAGAAGTTACTGCCACCACTCTGCTAGTCCAGCATAACTCCTTACTACATTCCAAATCTTACCCTTATACCCACAGATAAGTGTAGCTACCACCCTTCATCAAAGAAACTTCTTTACGGCAAATAGAGATCAAAGAAAACCACAACTGCATGCTATGCAAAGATGAACAGATACCGGGGAGCTCAGTCTCAGTGGCTACATCTATATCATAACTCCTGCGTATAGGGCTCTGGGAACATCGTAGAAGAGGGTTTATAGAGATCATATGAGCCAGTTTACCAGGGAGTCTGCTATGAAATGGCTATGTAAAGAAGCCCAGAACAATGTCAGTATCAGTGGATGTGCTAACGTGAAAGGGAGGAATTATATGGGGGATCCCACCCTTAGAGAGCTACAGTCAACCAATGACTGCTGGGAGAGGGAGAATCAGCCAGTCCCGGGGATGAGCCCCCTTATTGATTACCCAATACAATGTATGGTTTCAGCCCTGAAACTATACGCACTAAAACCCAAAGTGGATTCAGTACGTTGTATTTATATAGGTGCTTACGTATGTGTGTGTGTGTGTGTGTGTGTGTGTGTGTGTGTGTGTGTGTGTGTGTGTGTAATGACCAGAATCAAAGGAAAGGGTCATTGATTTGAGAGTGGGGTGTCATGCAGGGGTTGAAAGGTGGGTACACGGAAGGAACTAGAGGGAGAAAGGGGGAAGGAGACAACATCATTCTATTGTCATTTGTCATTTAAAAGGTACAACTCTTAAAAATGAGGCCTTTGTGAGTCTGTTTATTCTGAATAAAGACTAATGCTGACTGAGTTTTGGATGAACTACTACTGCCACCAAGTGTTAGGATTCCAGCAGAGAGATGTATGCTTTCAATTGAAACTGTAGCATAAAGTACGCCAGCCTATGTCGCTGTATAGTGCCAAAAAAAATGTCCAAATAATGTGAATACTAGTGAAGAAATAAAATAAATTTTACTAGATTTACTTAATATACTTAGTAAACAAAACATAAGATAAACACCAGTGATTTTGTTTCTAAAAATGCCATGGCCTTTATTATAGCAGACAGACAGACAGACAAATGGACTGACCCACAGACACACACACACACACACACACACACACAGCATACAAGGCACACTTTGGTAGGAAGAATTAAACTGATTCTCTTTACTGGCTTAATAAAGGGAGGAACTATGTACAGTGAGTCCATTACAAGTAACTAACTTTGGTTCCAAGGTCTTGCAGATGGCCTTTGAGTTATGACAGTAACTTCTAGGTAACGGACAGAAAGATGGCAGTGTCCTCAGGTACAGCCACAAAAGAATGAATTCTGCCAATAACATAAATGATTTTGTGATTGGATTTTCCCAAATTGGTTTCTCACGGGGCAATCTAACTCAGTCCTTTCCTTTCGGCTTGTGTCAATCTTTAGTGAAGAGGAGGGCTATACCATTCCTGGGATCCTAAAAATTAGAAGCTGACATATGAACTCATGTTGCTTTAGGCAACCTTGTCTGTCATAATTTGATTATACAAAGAGACAACTAAAATAATATATGGACCTCATAAATATATCTTGTTGTAAGTTCGAATTCATTGGTCAGCATTCAATGTACATAAATGAAGGGCAAATGTCTGTTTTTTTTTTTTTTAAATCCCCATTATACTCCCGACTGTAATGTTTATAGTGCCAGTAAATCACCTTGAGCTTTGGCTGCATTATTCTTCCAGTATATAAAAAAGCTTATTCTATTTAGAAAAATCTGAAAACCCAGAGATGAGAGATGTGGTTTGGTGCCTAAGAGTGCTTGCTCTTCGTCCAGAGGACCATAGTTAAGAGCCTAGCACCTATGTGATTTAGTTCACAGTAACTTGTAATTCTAGCTTCAGATGAGCCAACACTTGGTTCTGACTTCTGTAGGCACCTGCTCATATGTGTCATATACTCACACAGGCACACGTTGAAAGTAAATATAATAAAGTAATATATTTAGAAAAAGAAAAGTTTTTATATCATGAATTACAATATATTGCTTTCTTCCTTTTATTTATTTATTTCTTTATTATGTATACAGTGTTCTGTCTGCATGTATCCCTGCAGGACAGAAGAAGGTGCCAGATCTCATTACAGATGGTTGTGAGCCATCTTGTGGTTGCTGGGAATTGAACTCAGGACCTCCGGAATAACTGCCAGTGCTCTTAACCTCTGAGCTATCTCTCCAGCCCAATATATTGCTTTCTTAAGAACAGGGTAAACATTACTGACTCAATACATTTTAGTAGACAATACAACTAGTAAAGGTATGCTAATACTTACTATTGACTAAAAGTCATATCAACTGATCAAAAACTGAGGAGTAAAAATTATTGAAAAAAAATGATACACATCTTTTTAAACTTAGAAAAGGGAGATTTTACTATAGTAATGTATATATATATATTATATATTTTAAAATATACATTATTTGTATATATTTGTATATTATACATCATTTATTTATTTTGATATATCAATATTTACATATTGATCTTACATTTAATACCATACTGAGTCCTTTAAGAAACAGATCTTGGCTAGCACTGTGCCATTCTGAGTTAACAGTAACAATGTCTGCCTAGAACTTATAAGTATGCCCCTAGAAGAGGATCCTTGGAGACTAACAGAGTCATCACTCTGCATTTTGAGTCAAGTAGGCTGCCTTAAGCAAGCCACTGAACAAATGAAACTGAATGACCTCTGTGGAATCTACATCCCCAAGGCCACTGGAATCCTGACTTCAGAAAGCCCATTCAGGTCTCAATTTTCAATTTACACTCCACCTTAGTGGGCTTCAGAGCTTATGCACATGTTGCTCCTCTGGCATTGACTTGGTGTTCCCAGGGGACAGTGCTCTCTTTCCCACAGTTCTGTTCACCACAGGAACGGGATAGTAATATTGGACCTCTTCTCCTTCTGTGATCCTCTGTGATCCCTTGATGTTGCTACAAAAAAAAAAAAAAAAAAAAAAAACCACGGGCTCAAGGCTTGGAGTGAAGGAGGGAGGAGTGGAGATGCCTATTGTTGCTCAGACATAGAGCCAGGTGTTTTTGCATATTCTGTATGAGAAGTCAATATGAAAATCATGATTTAAGTTACTGGATATTTAGGGATACCTGCATTTTTTTCCCAGTCTTCGTTCAAACCCTAGGGAATACATTCTCTATATAACAGAACCATGCTCACAGTATGAGCGAGGAACCCCAGGCTACCTAAGAGCTCACAAAGAAAAATATGATTCATAGTCGTTTATCTGAGTCAAACGCCATGTCTTGACTGTGTCATGAATCAGTCCTGTTCTCAAAATCAAGTTCATACCATTCTCCACGATAATGCCTAATCAACAGATCCATCTATGGAACACGAGAATTAATAAGGTTGCTTTCTCATATGTATTCCATTACTTATCACAAGGGGTCTACTAAAGACGAGTTGGTAGTGCAGCGATGTTATGAACTCATATCTACGGTCAGACAGGGTTGGGTTTACAGGCTAGCTGTGAAGTCCATCAGTCTCCACGACCTTGGGCAAAGCCACTTCAGTTCCCGAATCTATGAAACCTGCTAATAAACATCTCTTGAAGTAGGCATGGGGCATTAATTACATGCTTGGGATGCACACACTGTAAATGTTTGTGATTATGTTTCATGTACCATGAATCCAACTTCTGAACTTAGACAAGTTGGGAAGAAATGGGGGCCCGATTTCCGTTACTGCAGCCACCCACAGAGTTCTAGAGAAGATACAGGCTTCCCCCATTCCACTCGGCTGAAGCTGAAGGCCCATAGTCCAACATTCCCCAACAGACTTCAGGTAAAAATTTCAAATGCCTCCCTCCCCCAAGCGTTGTCAGGGTGCGAGCATTGCCCACTTTTACCTCTGCCTCAAATCCTGCGTCACAAGACCCCTTGCGAATGTTCATGGAACATCCAGTTCCGGCAGGAACCCACCCTCCTCACAGAGAGCTCCAGGTCCACCCCAATTGGCTGTCGTCCTGGGCAACCCAGGACGCGGTGGGCACGCGGGGTGGGGGTGGGGGGAAACCAGCGGGTATTTAAAGGCTGCCCCTGCCCAGGCCCATTCAGTCCGGCCAGGACGGCGACGGTGAAGCACCTGGGTTGAGAGGGAGGAGCAAGGTAACAGGCGACCCCTGCCTCTCCCATCCCCAGCCCACGCCTCGGCTGAGGCGGGTGTGTGTGGGACCCGGGAGTGGCCCTCACAGTTCATCGCCCACCAACACCTTCCTCCCCCACCATCCTTACCCTACCCAAACTACCTGGGCGAGCCAACCCAGGTGCGAAAGACAGTGATTCTGCAGGAAGAGCTAGTAAGTGGAGAAGAAAGAGGGTGATCCTCCTCGAGAAGAGGGAAGGCCAGCTCACAGGCAGGAGCGCGTGGCACTCAGGGACCCCCCAACCGAGGAGGCTCTTCTGATTGACCCATCGGATCCCTGAACCATGACCCAGACGGTCAACGAAAGGGAGGATCCCCTCAATCTGGGCGGCGGCGGCTGGGCATCCTCCATCCCACTGCGAACCTGGTCCTCCTACCATCGACGGCGGCAGAGGGGCTCGCAAATGTCCAAGAGGCGATACCGAGACGGCCCCAAAGCTGAGTACGAGGCTTCCAGGAAACAACCCAAGCAACAGCACAGCCCTGGCCCTTGGTTCCAACCACCCAGACGGCCCTATTGGGCCGTGTACTCCAACTGGGGGCGCTGCGGAGGGCCCTGGCGCCCACCCCTGATGGCATTCCAGAGCCCTCTGTGCCCAGCGCAGATGATCCGGGCCTACGGTCTGCACCCGCTCTGCCTTTGCTGCTGCTCCTGCTGGAGCGGGCCCTGGAACCCCTGTTGGGAGAGACCCCCGGGCAGAAAGAAGCGCTGGGGCCGCAGGGGCCGTGGCCTGCGCCGCCACCCTCGTCGCTCCTTCCCGAGGAACCCACCGATAGACCTGAGCAAGCTGCTGCGGCCGGTCAACCTTTACGGGTGGCGGGCGCCCGGGATGCGAGCGCCCCGGAACACCACCCAGTTCATCATGAACCAGGTCTACGAAGACATGAGGCAGCAAGAGAAGCTGGAGCGCCAGCAAGCGGCTTTGAGGGCGCAGCAAGCCCAGGCCTCCTCGGAAGGCTCCACTGCCAAGGAGGCGCCCCACAACGGCGTCGAGGAAGACTCGGAGTTGCTGGAAGATCTGTATGGCTTCATGCAGGATTCCTCTCTAAACTTCAGTCCTGCTCCAGTGCAGCAAATTCAGTCTCCCACCCCACAGCGGGAAGAGGAGGAAGAGAAAAATGATGATGATGATGGTGATGATGGTGGTGGTGGTGATGGTGATGATGATGATGATGATGAGTGTGATGACGAGGTTTGTGATGGAAAGGAGGAGAGCGAGGAAGAGGAGGAGGACGAGGAGGATAGAGCCACAGAGGATGAAGATGTGGATGAGGAGGAGGTCGAGGAGGCTGACAATGGGCGAGAAGGAGAAGAGGACCAAGAAGAGGATATGCTGGAAGAGGAGGGGCTGGAGGAGGGAGAGCAGAGAGAGGAAGACAAATTCTTGCCTCTGGGAATGCCTTTGTCAATCCTAGTAGGGGACGAAGAGGACAGAGAGAACTTTATAAACTATGATTATTTAAGCCAAGAACAAATAATTCCCAATGTGCCAGAGGCAGATCTGTTTATGGTACCGGACATTAGCCATTAGCCATCAGGAAGGGAACTGAGAAACGAAATGGAACTGATTTGAGGCTAATATGGATTAACAACTTATTAAATAACAAATTCAAAAGTGAGTCCCATTAATAAACATCAATGTAAACACCTTCGTTGGCCATTATAAAATATTTAAACATTGGTGTGTTTGTGTATGACTATGGGTGGGGGAGGGGAATATTTCAGATATATTTTATTGGAAATGATTAAAGGCCAAATATTTTATTACTACAGTTTGAATATTTTCATTTGCTGTCTCCCTCTTCAGACAAGTGAGGCTTTGTAGTTCAAAATTTTTGCAATATCGAAAAGCATTTAAATTTACACAGTAGCTTAATGAGCTTGCAATCAACAGATTTTTGGCTGTCCTGTGCTTAAACAGCATAAATGACGGCCACTGTCATCTACCAGTGCTCTTGTTACTGAGGGCACTTAGAAGAGGATTTTTCTACAGCTGTAGATTTTCCACCTTCAGAGTTCATTTTTGAGGGCTGTGTTTTGGTAACCCCTTTCCAGTCTGTTGTGGCATTGCTCATTTATATCCCTTGTTCCACAGTGCTATGGATCTTCCTCAGAGGAACATGAAGTTGCTTCTGTGGAACTGGTTATCTGCCATGGCCTCAACAATCCATAATCCATGCATGGAGAGGATTCCCCATGGTCAGAAGTCAACTTGCACATCTAGTTAAGATCCAAGGTAACTGCAAACAAGGGCACATCGCTTAGGTTTCGAAGCCTTGATCATGCATGTATTCCTTGTATACGTTCAGAGGAAATAGAAACATAGTATTGCAGAATGGATTAAAGAAATGATTGTTGACTTTTGCGGGGGTGGAATATCTAATTTTGTCTCCCAATTTGTCTCTTTTAAGAAGGAGAGTAAAAGTGATCTGTAAATATGAGCTTGTGTGAATAGTTTTTGACAATCTGTAAACTACCACCTATGGAGAATACATCTTTTCAAATAGCAGCTTTGGTTCAAAGTTTTTTGCCCTGGTTGTGTGTGGTCTGCTGACAACATTTGTCCAGGATCAGCCAGATGAAGAATTTGAATACAGCTTCTTCAGAGTTCCACCTTGTCAGCGAGGCTTAACTTGAAACACTAGTATTTATTGGTTGATCAGAAAATTTTCTTGTTGATCTCTTTCTTGGATATTGATTTTTAACTTGCAGGACTATAAGGTCTTAAGTAATAAAATTATTAAAAATATCCTCATTTGTATTCAAATATCAGAAGTCTATGCAGCTGCACTCCAGTGTCCAACAGGATGAAGAAAAAAACTGTAAGATTCTAAAAATCACACCAAACATTACAAAATACATCAGTAAATATGGAACATTTAATTGTAAGCTAAGAAAGTATTACTTTTTGTATGACTCAGTTTCTAAGTGTCCTATCAAAGTAGCCATCATTTGCCTTCTAATTACAGTTACTCTATGTATATATAGAGAAAACAAAACCATTTGCCCCTGATACTGGTCATTCCCTACTCATCAAAACTCAAATGTGCTTTGCTCAACATGTTTGTGAACAATCACTGCATCAAATGCACATAGCTTTCAATAAATCTATTTAGGTATGAATGTCTTTACATTCTCACACCTGGAAAATTGCCAATTTCTTCTTGTAAGATGTATTTCTTTTAAGTTTGAAAATTCTAAATTTTATTATTTATAAATTGTATCCATGTAAGCAATGTATTAGGATGATATCCAGTCCAACTGAATTTTCTCCCTTGGTTCCCTGACATATTATCATAACATCTTCCCAACTTTGTGGCCTCTAAAAAATTAAATTCAGTACATTAAATGCCTTCAAGTCTTTTTTTAAAAAATAACTACTAGGGATTGTCTTAGTTTCTGTCCTATTGCTATGAGGAGACACCATGACCAAGACAATTCCTATATGATCTTTTGATTTGGGCTTTCCTACAATTTCAGAGGCTTAGTTCATTATTATCATGACAGGGATCAAGGGGGCATTCGTGGCAGGGCAAGGTGCTGGAGAAGTAGTTGAGAACTGCATCCTGATGCACACACAGAGAGAGGAGGGGCAGGAGAGGAGAGACAGAGACAGAGAGAGATGGGGGGAGAGGAGAGAGAGAAAGAGAGAACACCTAGGACTGCTATTATTTTTGAAACCCCAAAACCCATCTCTAGTGACACATTTCCTCCAAAAAGGCCACATCTGATCCTTCTAATCCTTGACTTGCTGGTGCTACTTGCTGGTGA